CAAACTCCACACAGACAGTCACCTGAGGGTGGAATCAAACCTGAGGCCCTAGTGCCCTGAGGCAGCAGTGCTAACCACTAAGCCACCATGCCACCTTTTTCATCATCAGTATCATTATTGGAGCAATTAGGCAGGGGGAGTGGGACTGACTGCATTGCTCTGCAGAGAGTCAGGATGTACTTGATGTGGCCAAACAGGCTGCACTGCAAATGACTCCGTGACTCTGAGTCAGAGTGACATATTCTAAGAAACCACAGTAAAAGCCACTCACTGCTAATGACTCCCTGCTGTTTCTGTCTATCTAGTAACTTGTTCGCTATTGAATGTTCCACTAAGCACACAGTATGATTTTTGTTTTAGATAGGAAAGATTTAGTATGTGTCAGTACAGGATGCCGAGTTTATTGTGTCCTTTTATTTTGGAGGGCGGACTGTTCACATCCCTTTGTACTCATCCAGGATGATATTTTGGCTGTTAATGCAAGAAAACATTAACTGTTTACTTTTCCTACTGCCCACGGGAGACCCCTTACCCACCTAGTTACTTGAATCATCTCCATTAATGGCTTTGTTTATTTTTGTCAAAAGTGTGAAATGGAATGAAAAACCCGAGCTGATGTATGAGAAAAGGAAAAAAAGTGCAGGAAGTTACAAGAAAATTGGATAGTGGTGAGATCTCAAGGTTGCAAGGGGAACCAGATGGCGAGCCCGTTGGCAGACTGTATCTGGAGAAGCACTGACCGTTGGCACAGTGTTGGATTCAATACAGTGTGGTTTGCTGCCAGAATATTTACCACCAAAAGCTTTAGAATAAAGCAGCAACTGAAGCACATGTGGCAAGTGTCTAGAGCTCTCTCTGTGCTAACAGTTAAGGTTACAATTCACAATGAATTCTGGGTCAAAGGTGCAGCTATTTCTGTTGTCAAACACCACGGTAGAGCCTGAAACATTTGGAGCAAACATCCCCCGTTAACCAGATACAACTTTTTTAAAATTCATGTGGCTTTCAGATGGTGGCTGGTACACACGATTAGGGAAATTCCCTTCCAGAACATGAGTGCAAGAGCTCACCACCAGGTGGCCCTCCAGCAAGATCCAGATAAATACCTGCCTATTCCTATTTTGTAATTCCAATGTGCCCTTCTGTGAAGTAACTGAACTGGTTTATTGCTAGAGATAGTTTCTGACTAACTGTTCTTTAATGCTTTGCTAAATATAGTCAAACCACTGTTCGACCTCACTGGCAGGACAAGAAGAAAGAGAAGCCCATTTATGTGAAATATCTATTTCTATCACTTAATTGTTAAGATTTGCCCTGTTGCTTTCTTTTTTGTACATCTGTTTGCTGCAATTTGGGTCAATCACATTGCCCATCCTGTCAGAGAGAAGGCGGGAGCTTGTTGCAAAGGATTGAGTTCATGCTCAATTAGTATGTAGTAAAAGAGATGCCAGATGTCAGACTTAGTGTGAAAATGCTTGAGTTTTTCTTTCCACAAAATCTGACCGTCTCAGTCTTTGCTTTTGCCAAGGCTCGTATGCTTGCTACCCACTTTACATTGGCACAGCAGAATTCAGAAAAGGCAGCCTTGGGGACCCAACCCTAGGGATGTCAGCTTGGGCAAGGGACTTGAGGTAGCAGAAAATGAGATTTTTTGAGCAATGTATATAATTCTTGCTTCTGCACTCACGATTTGCATTTCAATTGTGCCTTGTCCCAATCTAAATACGTAGTGAAGTAAGTTGAATTTAAAGTTGCATTAGGTAGTGTGTCAGTGCAGTGACATATAGATCAGAGTGGTCAAGAAGATGTTTAGCATGTTTGCCTTCATTGCTCAGAACTTTGAATGTAGGAGTTGGGACATCATGTTGTGGTTGTACAGGACATTGGTGAGCCCTCTTCTGGAATACTGTGTCCAGTTCTGGTCTCCCTGTAATAGGAAAGATATTATTAAGCTGGAGAGGGTTCAGAAGAGATTTACCAGGATGTTGTCAGGAATGGAACATTTGAATTCGAAGGATAGGCTGGGATTTTTTTCATTGGAGCGTAGGAGGTTGAAGGGTGACCTTTATAGAGGTTTATAAAATAATGATGGGTATAGATAAGGTGCCTTTTCCTTAGGGTGGGGAATTTCAAGGCTAGGTGGCATATTTTTAAGGTGAGAGGAGAAAGATCTAAAAAATGACATGAGAGGCAATTGTTTTACAGAGAGTGGTTCATGTGTGGAAAGAACTGCCTGAGGAAGTGGTGGATGTGGGTAAAGTTACAATGTTTAAAAGACATTTAGATTAGTAAATGAATAAAAAATGTTTGGAGGGATATGAGCCAAGCACAGGCAGGTGGGACTAGTTTAGTTTGGGATTATGGTCAGCATGGACTGTTTGGACTGAAGGGTCTGTTTCCAGGCTCTGACTCTATCCATATATTAGTGAGGGTGGCTGCTGTTTTATTGCACAGCAAATTCGGAAACAGCAATGAAAGGAATGATCGACTAATCTTATTTGTGGGATCAGTTGGTCAGGCTGCCATCCCGGTCCTCCAGGGGATAATGGGATATGAGGAGAGGGTGGGAAAGTGGAGTTAAGGCAGGCCGGGATAGTATGACTGGCCTGGTCCTGTCCAAATCCTTTTTCTTATGTTCCTGCACTTCTTCCAACACTGGGGTTGGTAAACAGGGACAGTAAAGGAGGGTTCTTGTAATGCCTATCCAAACAAGGAAATGTGGCCTCCCTTGGAAAGGAAGAAGTCTCAATCATAGAATCCCTACAGTGTGGAAGCAGGCCATTCAGCACATCGAGTCCATACCGACCTTCTGAAGGACACTGGAGTGAAAACTGCTGGGCTTGAACTCCTCAATGTGCTGTTAGCAACTGAGCCACCCTGGTACAGTTTGGTGAAAAGAGTAACAGAAATGGCTTTGATCAATGAGATTGTCGAAGTGCATCCTCTTTGACCTTAGCAAGCAACAACCTTGCCCTCTGCGGGCTCACATTCTCTTTTTGTTCTGAGCATTTTCTGCTGATGTACTTATGAATGGCCTGAGGGATGAGAGAGGGGAGATTGTGTGAGTTGTTGGAGCAATATGTGCATCTCCTGGCAACCAGTGCAGCTCCAGAAGTTCTGAGCACATCGGAACTGGGCTTGCTAATAAAGCACCCTCTTCATTCCATAGTGCTCCCAGCAATAATGTCTGTTTGCTCCAGCCCCATGGCATCTGATTGTGTTTAATCATTGCTGGCTGGCCATTAACTATCCAGATGTAGGCGCTGAGAGAAGTAACATACAAGTTTGCTGATGGCAGGATTTATGCGAATGTTGGATTGGGGAGGACCAGGACGCTCAAACCAAGGGAAGAGGTAGTGTTTCTTGGAGAATTAGGATTAGGTTTTATTGTCATGTGTACTCCAGTACAGGGGATACAGGAGTACAGTGAAAAGTTTACAATGTTGCCATTTCCGGCGCCATCTTAGGCACAAGGTACAAAAGGTACAAAATCTTAGTTCAAAAAGTAGAAAAATAAAGAAATAAGTTGAAAATTCAACATTGCAGTTCTTGTCAGTATAAAGTAGCTACTAAAATAAAGTTAAAAGTTCCAACTTACAGTCCTTCTTTAGCCATGGGCTTGCAGTCACTCCATGCTGGGCTTTCCCCACACAGGCTCGATCTCTCTGCTACACTGGGCTCGTTCCCCAGTGCCGTCTCGCCACCATCTGGGCAGTGGTGATTGTCAAGCAAGTTTGTGCAATAAGTCCCACTAGCCACACATACACACTCACAAGAGGAGAAGAGAGATGGAGTTAAGCTATGGACCAGCTGCGATATAGCTGAAAGGCAGAACCAGCTCTAGGAGCTGAATGGTCTCTTCCTATCTTCTTAGGTGCACCTTCTCTGCGGCTGTAACACTGCATTCTCACTTTGTTCTGCTACCCTGATGCACTTTGTATGGTTCAATCTGCATGTATAGCATGCAGAAGGGTCTCGACCCGAAACGTCAGCTTTCCTGCTCCTCTGATGCTGCTTGGCCTGCTGTGTTCATCCAGCTCTACACCTTGTTATATCACTTTTCACTGTATCTCAGTAAGTGACAACAGTTAAATTAATCGATCAATCTTAAACTGTTTAGCATGGGATCCTTTGGCATTGTGACACAATCAAAAGATGAATACAGTTTCCCATGCTATTCCATTTTAAAAATGAATAAACAAATGGCAGCAGCTATCACTTTTCTGGAGGGACACAGTGGAGGGCTCAGTTTTTATATATGTATCTTCATGATGACAAACGGTCACTTATGTGTGTTTAGAATGTCTGCTGTCATAAGGTCAACTGCTTCGACTGTACTCTTGTCTTCTGTTACAATTTATTTGTGGCTATGTGGTTATCCCTAAGATGCTGTAACTAGGTACTTTGGTCCCTAAGATGGCGCCGTAAGTGGCAACATTGTAAACTTTTCACTGCACTTATGTGAGTACGTGAGACAATAAAGCTAATTCTAATTCTGATGTACAAAACCTGAATTAAGCCACTTTAAGAAAAGTCAGCATTGCAGGTCATGTAAGTACTTTTTCAAAAATCTACTTTCCAATACATGAGGTCTTGAGTCCAGACTGAAGAAAAAATGGCCAGCTTGCATTCAACAGACTCGACATAAGCCTTTGGAAATTGAGTCAAAAATAGCTTAAGAATCCTGAATAAAAAAAATGGAATAAGAGGGCATGAGGATGGCATCTGAGTGCCTCATCCGACCTGGATTGACTTACTGTCACCATTGCACGTAAAATTCCAGTGCCAGTGAGCTTGGCAGTTTGTTGAATTTAGAGTAGTGTTGACATATAAACACATTTGACCATCTTGATCTTTGACCTCAGAGGTGAAATAAGATTGCTATAAGACATCACCGGATATCACTCACGTGTAGAGTTTGTTTTCAGTAAGTCATGCAAGATGTAATGAAGCACAAAATACCCTCTCACTGGAATAGTTTTAATATGTTTCCCTTTCAGAGATGCCTTGTCTTCAGGCACAGTATGGGACCTTGCCACAAAGTGGAGGACCATATGAGGACTACAGTTCTGACTTTTTGACTCCTGAATTTGTCAAGCTTGGAATGGACCTCAGCACCACGGAGATTGCTGCCACAACCTCTCTTCCCAGCTTCAACACGTTCATCGACAGCAACAACGGAGACTTTGATGCATACTTGTACCAACTGATGCTTACCAACCAGCAGTCTCCATTTAAAGTGGAGGACGTTCAGATGTTTGGCTGTTATCCAGCCTCCATCAACATGCATTTGGAAGAGGTGCTACCTCAGTGTGGATCTTCTCAATATTACAATGGATCTTGCTCCATCCCCTCACCATCAACCCCCGCTTTTCAAACGCAGCAAGTGTCCATATGGGATGATTCTTTTCCTCATCACTCACTGCAATATGGTGAGGTGGATCATTTGTTAGATCAACAAAAAAATGTGTCCCAACTTTCATTCTTTTCCTTTAAGCAGGTACCTTCAGAGTCTCCTGTGTCACATTGCCACATGAGGCTCGATGCAAGTTCCCATGGAGCTAACCCTGTCCACCAGCTTGTTGATACCATGTCTTATGATGCCACCAGCCAAGCCTCCATGAATTTTCCTGCTCTCCCCATGGACCGTGGACCACGTCTCTTGGACAGTCCCATTGTTATAGACAATCCCATCCCCTCTCCACCGGTTCGTAACCCCCCTTCTAATGAGGGCCAGTGCGCTGTGTGTGGAGATAACGCTTCCTGCCAACACTATGGTGTACGGACCTGTGAAGGATGCAAAGGTTTCTTCAAGGTATTTGATCAGTTACTTGAGCCTTAGCAATAGTTGGGGGGAGATGATTTTGATTCTGTTTGATAATGCAAAGTGGATGATCGTGAATCAGCAGCCTGTTGTGCATTTCTTCCAGTTTATAGTTCGTCCATTCTGTTTGCTTCAGTGCCATGCAGAATGAGCATGTGGCGCAGGTGGGTGGGTAGTACTTACACCTTGGCATCACAAGGGTTCAGACTCCAGTTCAGGACTGCTGCAGTACTGGCTTTTTTTTTGGTTTGAGACATTAAACTAAGGCCTTGTTTGTTTCTCAGTGGGTTTGGTGGTGGGAGGTGTTGTGGAAGGGCCCGTATTGCTGTTTTGAAGAAAACCGGGCAGGGTTTTCCCAGTGCTCCAGCCAATACTTATCCCTCAATTAACACCCCAAAAACCCCAGCCTTTACCATGGCTGTTTGTGGGATCTTGCTGTGCATAAGGTGGCTGCTGCACTTCCTATGCTGTAACAGCGACTGCTCTTTGGAAGCACTTCATTGGCTGAAAAAGTGCCCTGCAGTCATGAGGCGGTGCAGAAATGGCAGGCCGTTCAGTCCAGCCACTTGTTGATTATTCAGCAAAGTTAAAGATATGCATCTTCCATATACTGTGATAACCTTGAAGCCAAATGACAAGTTTTTACTCGAAAATTGGTACTGGTGCGTACGTTTCTTCGTTGCAATCAGTAACACACATCATTGGTTTGTAGGAATTACATTTTTTGTAAAGTACAATTCTCCAAAGTCACAAGTTCCAGCTAAATCCACCATAAGGTTGTCAATGCTGTAAATCATGGAATCAAGACAGTGTGGAAGCAGGCCATTTGGCCCATCAAGTCAATAACAACCCTCTGAAGAGCATCCCACCCAGACGCACCCCTGTAATCCTGCATTTCCCATGGCCAATCCACCTAACCTGCATATCTTTAGACTGTGGAAGGAAACCCACACAGACAGAAGGTGCACATGCAATCTCCACACAGACTGTCACCCGAGGTTGGAATCAAACCCAAGTCCCTGGAGCTGTGAGGTAGTAGTGCTAACCACTGAGGGTTAGCAAGAACTGTTGATGCTGGAGTCAGAGTCAACCCAGTGTGGAGCTGGAGGAACACAGCAGACCAGGCAGCATCAGAGGAGCAGGAAAGTCGAATTTTCGAAACACTGACTTTCCTACTCCTCTGATCCTGCCTGACCT